TTTATATTTGAACAATTTGCTCTTTCTTTCAAAGAATGCTATCTGTTATACATATCAGTAGGCTGTGCACAGGCAGCTGATGTGACTTGTCTGTTCATGGGAACCATCTGTTTATATTGAGACTATGAAATACATTAAAAGAGATCACAAATCAAACATTATACCGGTAGCCCTCACTTAATGACTGCAGGGTCAGTGGCATGGTCAGTGGCTGTTCAGACTTGTGATGGGGCTGAATGAGTAAAACCAGTCCTCAAAGTTCCATCTGTTGCAACACCTCCACAGTCATGTGCTCATAATCTGGATGTTCAGCAACCGGACCAGATTTCCATTGCAATGTCCGACCATCATTCAGTGAGGACTATTTGTATTACAAATTAAATATCTAGAGCGAGAAATGGGAGTATGCCTTGTTGTCAGAAATTGATGGCAGTCGTCAAACAACCCATCTTATGCAATTTGTGAATGGTAATAGCAACAGCACTTCAGAGGTGGGTTCCTACTGGTTCGGAGTGGTTCGGCCAAACCAGTAGTGGTTTGCTGTCCTGGGTCGCCGGAACCAGCAGTGACCCAGGTCTGCCATGTCTCCAAACTGATTCCATGCGGGCAAAAATGCACACGCACCGAACCGGCAGTAATGTCGGCAGCAACCCACCCTCGGCAGCATTTAGGTTTATTTACATTGCTTTACAGCCCTCTCTAAGCAGTTTACAGAGACAGCATATTGCCCCCAACAATCCAGGTCCTCATTTTACCAACCTCAGAAGGATGGAAAGCTGAGTCAACCTTGAGCCTGGTGAGATGTAACCAGGCAGCAGAATTAGCCTACATTCTAACCACTGCCCCACTGCAGCTCTTAATCCAACCAAATCTCAGAATCCAAGGTGGATTTTCTAGGTGGAAAAATAATTGACAGCTGGGCAGCTGGAGAGATTATGGAAAGAAGGTCATAAAATATAAATTGAGAAAGTCAGTTAGCAGGTATTTGTTTAGAAAGCAATTGATCTGGGATAGGAAGAAACACAGTGAGAAAGAGAAATTGGGGATTAATGATAATGAAAAGTTATTAGTGGGAACGCAAAGGAAGTCATGGAATTAAAGGCTGAGAAAAGATATCAAAAGCTAAGCATAGTTTTTAAAGAGATTTGCCACTTGATGGAATCATTATTAGTTATACTATTGATTCCTTGTTCTTGATATTTTAATGAAAAATCAAAACATGAATATAAATACATATTTATAGAAGGAGATATATTTAAAGTATATTTGAACTATGTTCTCATGTGGGTGGAAGTAAATTACTACGCCTGGCTTTATATGCTGGCTTCTGTTGTATGAAGTATATATCTCAGCAAATCAATAGACAGTGTGGCAAATTTTTACCTGGGGTCTGATAATTTAGGAAATTTAGATTCTGGGGATTCAGAGGATGATAAAAGACCACAGACCATTTATCTAAGACCCCTAGACTCCTTACATTTTATTAAGTGGATTCATGTTCTATTTCATTTCTATTCATTCTGTAATGTCTTCACATTAATAGGGGATTGCACCAGAGGTGGGTTTCTACCTGGTCACACCAGTTTGGGCAAACTGGTAGTAATTTTTTGGGCTTGTATCGCAGAAGGGGCAGCGACCCAGGCAGGCCACACCTCTGAACCAGTTCCCTGGTTGCTGCTGGGGTTGCCGGCATGGATTTTTCTCCTTTTTTAATGTTCTGCACATGCACAGAACATTTTACAGGCAACTTCATATATGCATGCAGCGTGCAAAGCACACACAAAATGAACTGGCAGTAACGCCGGTAGCAACCCACGCCTGGTTTGCACATTACTTTTACTATATAACATCCTTTACAATCCTGAACACCCACATGCATTTCAGGGCTTCTCTGAAATTTCTGATTCTTGAATTATTAGACGTAACATTTTTACAGACCAAAATGTGTTGCACAAGTTGTAACTCACATGTCAGAAATTGTGCCTTTTTAAAAATTAATTTTTAGTTTTAGCATCCATGTAATGCTATCTTAAAAATAACAAAATAGAGTCACATATAATTTTTGATATTTCCGCAATAACTCTAAAGGCATTTAAGATCAGCCCTTATAAATACTTTCAATATTATTATTGAAAGCCACGGTGCCACAATGGTTAGAGTGCAGTAACTGCAGGCTACTTCTGCTGACTGCCAGCTGCCTGCAATTTGGCAGTTCAAATCTCACCAGGTTCAAAGTTGACTCAGCCTTCCATCCTTCCGAAATGAGTAAAATGAGGACCCAGATTTCCCATAGATATAAACAAGGCTCAATATTTATCAATCTGATTTTAAAGCCACAGTAGCTGTTACTCTTGATATTAAAAAAAACCTTCTGATTCAGGGAATGTTCCTTGTATTAAATATTTACTTTTTGTGTCATTTAGTTTCTCAACAATACCCCCAGTTTAATGCCTTAGTTAGAGCAAATGGGATAGAATCAATTAATTTTAAACTAGACAGTGGCACCAAAGATGTTCATATCCTCAGACTTTTAGATGTAATAATCAAAACCCAAGCAATAATAGAATTAACCTCCAAATTTAAGCCATTACATTATATGAAAATGCACAGGCTATAAATATATTTGATCGTTATGCTCTGTTGATCTTTCACTATCCAAAAATTATGATGCCTGAAATCAAAAAGAAGTTTTAAAACAATGATGTTTAACTCTGGGGCAAAATGGAATAAACCATGTCATTAATTACTCAACTTCAATCATTCAGACAAATATTGACAAAATAAAAATAGGGCAGAAGAATCTTGCTGCATATTATAGATTTATTTGAAAAGGGGAGAAGCACAAAAATAAATAAGCTGCTCCAGAGACTTCGATGAAAATAGACTCACTAGCTCACATCACTGTCATCCCCCCAAAATAAATACACATTCAAACATTATAAGCCATGAATCAATAATCCAGCTTCAAATGCCTTTAACAGAAGTTGATATCCTATATGAACAATTAAAAATAATCCAAAAAGCATTATTTCAAGACTATAACCTGCTATTAATACAAGTCCAGAAAACAGATTTTGGACATATCATATATATCTGAAGGTAATTGGAATATTGTGTGAAAAACAGCCACTAAAAATAGCATCCTCATGCTTAAAAGAAGTATCCCTCAAACAATGTGCAGATGGCACTATACTCCTATTAAATTTAATTACAATAATCCAAAAGTTATGTCGCTTTGATGGAGAGGCTGCAGTGAAACATCATCTTCATAGGTGGTAAACTCATGATATACTATATTTCTCGGAGTATAAGACGCACCTTTTTCCCTCAAAAAAGAGAGTGAAAATCTGGGTTCATCTTATACACTGAATACAGCATTTTTGGCCTACCGAAAACCCACCCTCTTTGCAAAAATGGACGTGCAGAGGGTTTGGGAGGCTTGCAAAGTGCTTCTGAGGACTGGGTAGGGCAAAAACGAACAAAAAACAGACCGTTTTTTGCAAAACAAAAGTGCATGCAGAGCTTTGGGAGGTTTGTAGAGTGCTCCTGAGGGCTGGGAAGGGCAAAAAAGAGCAAAAAACAGGCACTCTACTAGCCTTCTAAAGCTCTGCATGCCCTCCCCCCCACCAAAAAAAAAGGCATGCAGAGGGTTTGGGAGGCCTGCAGAGTGCAAAAACCTTTTTTAAAAAATTACCTCTTCAAAATCATGGTGCGTCTTATACTCTGGTGTGTCTTATAGTCCAAAAAATAAGGTAGTTAATCTATTTTTGTTGAGGGAATTGTATTATTTCAAAACTTGTAACATGTACCCTTATTCAACATATTCAGTTTGTCTTATATGCCTTATTCTGTTTGGCTTATTCTAAACATTTGCTGAAGTTCATACCAAAACATCAAAGATATTTTAGCAATTACAAAACAAAGGAAAACAAGTGTAGAATTTTACATAACTGACTCAACAAATTATTCCATTTATTATTACAGAAAACACCCACCAAAAAGCACATTCCAAGGACAGCCATTAAATATATTGTATTTATTGTGACATGATGTTTCCTATTCTCTTGTGGCTTACAAAGATAACACGTAGCCATGTTTCACCACAACTATATTTATTCTGGAAGGATTTCATATGTAGCTGATACATGATTTTTAAAAGGTATGAATTAGTATATTGGGGTGATAGAAACAAGGGTGATTTGCAAGAATAGAAAGATGAGGAGAATTATAGGGAATTATATTGGGGTAAAATGGATTTAGCTCTTTTTTCTTATTGCATGATTTAAATTCTTTTGCATACTACTAATGCTACTACTAATGCTATGCACACTATTACTTATCTTGAAAGGTGATCATATAAACAACATACATGTATGTACGCATGTAAGGGAGAATAATGATACACCTAGCTAAAGGAAACAAAGAGCAATTAAAATTTTATTTTATTTTGTATTTTATATATGCTTTCTTATTATTGAATTTATTAAAAGAGCGTTATTTTTAAATTACACCTATAATATATTAACAGCATAAAACTTAATAATCAGCTTCTGTGTTGCTGAAAGATAATATGCCAAGTTTAATATTATAAAATACTTCCATTTCCATTCCATTTATTAGACTTGTATGCCGCCCTATTCCCCGGAGGGACTCAGGGCGGCGAACAGACATATGGGAAAGGGGACAATACAAAAAACGAACGAAACAAGACAGGATACAGAGACAAATTAAAACTACACAACAATCAACAATTCGAGTGGGGCTGGGAACTCATCAGCCCCATGCCTGTCGGAACAGCCAGGTCTTAACGGCTTTGCGGAAAGCCTGAAGGGTGGTGAGGGTCCATGATCTCCACGGGGAGATCGTTCCAAAGGGCCGGAGCAGCCACAGAAAAGGCCCTCCCCCGGGGAGTCGCCAGTCGACATTGGCTGGCTGATGGTATCTGGAGGAGGCCTAATCTGTGAGATCTGATTGGTCGAAGGGAGGTAAAAAATACTTACATTAGAAGTACCAATGCCAGCCTAGCTGATGCTTCAATCCAGGTAGCCATTAAAAGACTGCAAAGAAACAGGAAAATCTAGTTATTAATCCTGTGGATCATAGGAATTCTGTAGATGGTAGTTCTCAGTAGTACCAACTATACATTTCAAGACTACCCGTAATCTTAATCACAGTTACCAAAACCATTTCAGTACCTGGCAAAATGATTTAATGATAAGGAATATTTCATATGGTCTCCTGCATAAATACTATAGTGTTATTAAATGCCCAAGCAACACATACCCTGTTACTCTAATATTACAATGCTTGGTTGAAGAATTGGATGAGAAAAATGCATTTAAGAATGATTGCTGCAAAAAAATTAACTTAAAAAGTGCAGCTGGCCTGTTAATGCAGCTCATAAAGCAATTTTACTAAGGAATTGCTAATCAATATAGCAGCAAAGTCAAGTCATTATAATTTATTCTTCATCAGTTCTAATCTACCAAACTTTACAATCAAGTGATCCTTTCAAAGTCATTTAAATTAGAACTAATTCATTTATACTACACTCCTTCCATATCAGTGAATTCAAAGAATTATATAGATTTCTAGCATGAAACACTTATTTTCTGAGTGGAATCTGTCTTTTTGGTTTACAAAATGTATTATTCTAAAACTACCATATATATAAATCACCTGTCATTAGAAGACTGAAACTTTAAGAGTCATTTGCTTTCCCAAAGAGTCATTATTGAAAGACTTGGGACAACAAAAAGGAACAGCATTATTTCATAGTTAGGAACGCTATGTCGAGCACTACTGTTGGATATAATGCAGTCAATGACCAAATAATCTCAATTAGACTACTTCATGAATAACTCTTTAACATGATTATCATCAAAGTTTATTCACCAACCACTGATGCAGAAGGAGGAGGCTGGGCAGATTTATGATCAAGTTCGATTTGAAATTGACAAAATATGCAAATAAGCTGTCAGTCCTCCCAGGTGAACCAGGCAGGAAACACCACAGGTTGAGCTAATTTTACTTTATTGTAGGGCTATAATAACAGAATCTTGCAAGTCTGAAGGCACAATCTTTCCACCTCCACTTTTAACTCTGATCCATTAGGGCAAGGGTTCCCAACCCCGCACCCACGGGTGGATTCCAGCTGCTGCTACTGCCGGTTTTCTCAGGGACACGCTACGCATGCACGCTTGTTGCATGCTACGTGGGCATGTGCAGTATTAAAAAACAAGATGCCGGCAAACACGGTGCCATGGAGAGAACCAGTTCAGGGGCTTGGCAGGCCGAGTTACTACCTACTTGGTCTCCCCCATCCCTGCGAGGCACCTCAGACTTCTTACCTAGGACTCGGCCTGCCTACCAACCCACGAGATCACTTCATTGTTGCAAATGGGAGTGCTGGCAGAGGTGGTTATGGTACAGTATGCCAGAAGAAGTAGTGAAAATCTGGTGTACTGGACTGGACCGGTATGACCACAATTGAGCCCAAAATTTTGGTTGCTAAGCCAGTGCGTTGCTAAGTAAGTTTCACAACATTTAACAAGTTGACCATGCCCACCCAGTCACATGACCACCATGACCACAGAATAGGCCACGCCCACAGAATAGGTAGTAAAAAAATTGAAACCCGCCCCTGAGTGCTGGGATTGCAGTTGTTGAGCAAAGGAACCATCTTGCTTAACTACCACTTCACTCAATAAACAAGATCCTGGCCACAATTGTGGTCATAAGTCAAGGGGTAACTGTAGACCAATCATTTTATAAAATGCTCCATCCACAAAAGCATGCCATGGGTAAAAACATTTTGTGGCAACATACTTTTCAAATAGATAATCCAGAAAGTGAAAATTATTTTAAAAACTAAAACCATGTTTAATATGTATTTTCAGTCATTTTCCAAAAGAACGGATAAGACAGATGGATGCCGGTTCTCGTCCCTCCTGTCCTGACTATATTGTAGGGCTGCTAATTGAGGAAAAAAAACCTGATAAACATTAACTTCCAAAGTACTTCTGTCTCTCTTTCAAACATTTCTCATCTTTATGATTTGCTATTTGCATGAAAATTGGATTTTAATTTTTCATGTATTTGGAATTACATCATCATTTCCTGCCTGTGACTTGATCACATCTTGTGAAGTTTGTGAAAATGTGAACCAAGAAACATCCATTGAGAGATGCAGCTAACAGTAGAGATCACAGAAGCTGATAACAAAAGACGGTTAAAAAAAAACAATCACAAAAGCAACCATATAAATCATTACTTTTTTGTTGTCTTGATTGAGCAAGAGAACAAAAACGAATACTCGTTGAGTCCCAGATGGACTGCTATATTGTTTGAATGCTGCATTTAGTTTGACTACTCTCAAATTATGCAGGCCTAATTAAAACAAGTTCTTTCCGTAATTAAATCTTGCCCTTTAAAACAACACTGAAATATAATCAGTATAGAAACACCTTTAACTGTCATGGAGAAGAATGCTTCCAGATAAGACTTTAATTGTACTACCAACAAGGAATTCTTTGTGTGCAGGGGATGACAACTCCAAACAATATCTTGATTTGAAGCCGGCCTTTAATTTTAATCATGATTACTTTCCTCTTATTAGAAAGGAGAAAATGTTGGAATAGCTGAGCTGTAATTTTGATTGGCAGTAGCCTGAAGATCTTTCCTCTCCATCACACCTTAAACATGCCCACATACATGCACCCACCACCCACCCAGACACATGGGTCTTCCTGCTGTCACTCATACCTTTTCAAATTTCCAGGTGATATCCTAAGACTGCAGGACATGATGCAAACCAGTCTCTCTCTGACAAATGCTTGGACTGGCATTAACACTATTCTCGGTTGTCCATGAAACTCAGAGTACTGGAAAATGAATGTTTTGCTTTTTATGACCTTTCTCGGTTAATTATTTAAAAGCAGGACATTAAAACTCTCCTAGGAAGTCCAAAGAGCCAGGGCAATTAATTGTAGTAGCAGCAGCAGGCTGGCCTGGAAACATTGTTCAGTTGCCTCACTTGTTATGTGGGATGATGACATGTTGCAAGAACGGAACATGCAGGACACAAAAGACTCTGCAAATTGGTAAGGGACAGACAAGGAAGCAGAATGTGGTGATCCATTCTTTTAAAGACTGTGCGAGGCCAGATAAAATTGCTTTGATGAGGAGCCTGACTGTTATGAAGAGGAACTATTCAAAGACAATATAGGAACTCAGCTGTAGGTGCTACACACCTCCTGCTTCAAGAACCACAGAATGGCCCTCTGCCTTTACCAAAAGCCTGATATGCAGTAATAAAGCAGCTGACCTGTGGATATTTAGCAAGGAATACTGTTTGACTGTGCAGCTTTTTAATGCCTTTTCTTTTGTTTTGATTTCTCGTTATGTTCATTCAATAGAACCATGATGGCAAACCTATGGCACGTTTTTCCTGAAATGGCACGCAAAGCCATGTCGCCTGGCATGCATGGGGTCGCTCATTCATCTTCCACGTATGCAGTGGCAAAGTTCTGTGCTGCTGCAATGTCCATAAGAAAAAAAATTGGCTACAGAAGTATAGTACCATTTTGCACCAATTATCTGGACCATTATGTTATTATCCACTTTTAATGTAAATACTTTTAATTATATTTTAATGTTAGTATTTTTAATATAGTGTAAAGACAAATGTATATTGCTTGTCTTTGACCGTAATAAAGATCTTACTTACTTACTTACTTACTTACATCTTCCGGGGTTCTGGCGCGCATTCCTCCGTGATGATCAGCTGGCCTTTGCGTTTGCGGCAGTGCCGGAACCCGGAAGAGCTGGTCTGGCGTGAGCATGTGTGCTGGCCAGCTGATAGGTGCATGTAGACTTGCTGGACAGCGCGCCAGAAACCGGAAGTTCATTTTCCGGTGCACGCATGCTCCCTGGGCAGCTCCTCTTCCTGGTCACAGTGAAGACAAGCATGCATGGGCAAAGTACTCCCTTTTTGGCACTTGGTGCCGAAAAGGCTTGTCATCATAGAACATGATTTTTCTTCGGCCTGAGCAGTTCTTCTTCATCCCTTTTTTACTGGACATCCTTTTTATATCTCTGACAACCAAGCTGAACTTTTGTCATCCATTCTCCACTGCAGCAGGCACAAATGTAGGAGTAGACAATAAGGCCATAATTGATCTGCACAAGGCCCAAAGTTATAATGTGGGCAACTAGTTTATGTGCATTGAGAGTCGCTTTGTTACAGAGGTTCAGGCTCCAGGCTAGAAACTGGGAGACCATAGGTTTTAGCCATGGCTTAGGCATGAAGTCAGCTGGGTGATTTGGGGCCACTCATTCTTTCTCAGCCTTAGGGAAAAAGCAGTGGCAAACTACTTCTGCAAACTCTTGTCAGGAAAGTTGCAGGGATTAGTACAGGCAGTTGCCAGGGGTCACATGGAACTGAACGCACACATACACAAATTTATGTGCAAACCTAGAGCTACCACATCAGTGCTGCAAAACCCCAGATGACTGCTAGATGGCAACAGGAATTAAGAAGCCAAGTGCAACCTCTTCCTTTTTGTTGACGTAGGCTCACCTAAACTGAAATTGGACCTCATTTTTAGCCACAGGTAAGGCGATCCAAAAGTGGACACAGCGGCCCAGTGGCCAAGACGCTGAGCTTGTCTTTCAGAAAGGTTGGCAGTTTGAATCCCTAGCACTGCGTGAGTGAGCTCCCGTTACTTGTCCCAGCTTCTGTCAACCTAGCAGTTCGAAAGCACATAAAAATGCAAGTGTAAAAATAGGAATCACATTTGGTGAGAAGGTAACATCGTTCAATGCGCCGTCGGAGTTTAATCATGCCGGCCACATGACCACGGAGACGTCTTCTAACAGCACTGGCTCTTCAGCTTTGAAACGGAGTTGAGCACTGGCCCCTAGAGTCAGGAACAACTAGCACATACGTGCGAGGGGAACCTTTACCTTTAAGGTGATCCAATCTGCTCTGGAAAAATCCACATGAGGGCTTCCTATATTTTCGTTGCTCTCATGCACTTATCCTGATTTTGCCGAATGGGGACTCTATGCTAGCCCAAACAATGTGTTAATTTATTTTTCAGAGTCTTCTGATACACCAAGTATTTAGATTAATTGAGTAAGCCATGATTAAGCAAATGAGTTATGAGACAGCATAATATATGAACAACATAATCCAAGTTTCTTGCATTTCATACATCGCTTAATAACCAGGATATTTGATCTCCCAATACAGTGCAAGGAAAACGATTCTTGCTTTAAAAAAAAAAAGAATTATCAACTTCTCATTCTCAGCTGGGCCCCCTCATAGCTGCTTGGTTTGGAGTAATCAGAAAGCAATAATCTTTTGCTCTATGCCATAAAATACTTGATCTGCCAGTTTCTCTATCTCAAAATCTCCATTATACCATAAAAGAACTAGGGCAGATTTGTTCATTGCTAGCATGTCCACTTCTACCACTTCCACCAGCTTTCTTATTCTTCATGCCAAGTTCCATCCCAATGACAGTGTGGAATTAAGGACTTTGTCAGGGTATGGTCTCAGAATTTCTGTCTAGAAACCTAGGTATGGAAAGAGTCATAGTCTGCCAGCGTACATACACAGAAGAAATCTGTGGCTAGATTCCAAGACTAAAAGAAGTTCTTGACCTTTGTGTAGCTCAGAGTGTTGCCAGAAGCTAGCCACTATGTTTGGTTAATGGCTTAGTGACATTTGAGCACCTAAGCAATTGGATTAATTGAGAAAACACTGCTTCCATTAAACACTGATCCTGTCAGTGGATGTGGATGTGGCTTATTATGTAGAATTTGTGAGCGTGACACGTTTGGGCTGCATTCATTTGACTAGGCCTCAGTCAACTCACAACTTTGACTTCTGACGGATTGCCTTCTTTAAAGCTACAGGAATTGTTGCTGGCTCTCTGAAGCCTATTTGTTTGTTCAATTGCATTTTTAAAAAATTAAAACAATCCAGGGTGACTTGTTGATGGAAGGTCAGCTGGTATTAATTAACTACAAATGATAGCTAAATGAATTCTCTATGCTCAGATTTCCCCACAGGACAGGCAGACAACTCTCAGAGAGATCTTAGTCTCATATTGCATAACTTAAGCTACTGTATTCTCCAGAAGGCTGGCTAAATAGGGAAATCCAGTGTGAAGAAGCCAGAGAAAGATAAAACCAGGGGTGAGCTTCAAAGATTCCAGCAAGGGATTCGCTGCTCCATTGCTGGGTGGGTGTGGCCATGGTGGGCGTGGCCTATTCAGCCTCCTGCACCATGGCAGCCTCCCCCCCCCTCCTATTTTTGCTCTCTTCAGGCTCCAGAGGCTTTTGTTGAGCCTCCGGGAGGGCGAAAACTAATTCCCCCAGGCTTCGGAGGCCATTTCCAGACTTTTGGAACTTCTGGTAGGCCCATTTTTCACCCTTCTTGAGCCTCTGCATTGGCCCTGCACTTACCTTGCATGATGAACGAGCCGCGTGGAGACTCCTAGGAGAGGCTGGGTGGGAGGGGAAGGGAGGGTTGGGGTGGGTGGAGCCAGTGTTGTTAAGCTGGCCATGCCCCCACTCCCCCCCAAGATCAAACACAACCCTGATGCGGCCCTCAGTGAAATTGAGTTTGGCACCCCTGCCTTGGATCAAGCAGCTGCTAGTTTAAGGAGTTATGGAGAGCTGCCCCTGCGCTCTGAAGCAACTGGTTGCCTTTGAATCCAAAATGCTACTCCCCTCTATATAGGCCACAGAAGTACACACTTGATCCTTTCTCAAAGAGAGCTGAATGCATATCCTCTCCTTACATTCATCTCTTACATTCTGCCAAACCACAGAGTAAATATGTCAGCTTTCCTTTTAACAATCGCTAATGAATAGCACTTATTTATTACAAAAGCCAGAAGATGCTTCCTCATTCTTCTGTTTTCATATGAGATCATTAGTCCAGAACAGTTGACATATGGGGAGTGAAACCTCACTTGTTTCGAGTTTCGAGTTTCATTTTATTTATATGCCGCCCTATTCCCGGTGGGACTCAGGGCGGCGCACAAACCCAAGGAGGGGA